TCTATGGTATTGTTATTTCGAATGTGGGTGGAACAGTCACCCAAAATGTTTAGAACTGTTATCATCTACATTTTGTTTCTTTTTTTTTTTATTTTTTTCGGGTCGTTTATAACTTTTTTTTTATCTACAGATGCAGTAGTATTAGTGTATTAGACTTCAAGGAATAACTGTTGTTCCTAGTACTGTTTTCTACTGTTCTTTAATATTAAATCTTGCTGAGTTCAGTTTTAAAATACGAGTAGTCATTTTATTGTGAGATGCAAAAGGATTTGCGGGTGGTGTTGCGTTTAGGTTGAACTTTAATATTTTTCAGGTTTTTCTGTTTTATTCCCCTCTGTTTTCTATTTGGTTTGAGGATACTGGTTGGTTGATGTGATGAATCGATACAAATTTCTAAAATTAGTCATAATTTTTTCACAGAATTATTGAGGTTTCTGCTTTTTTGTTCTTCCCGATATTCCGATCTCTAAGCGGAAACTTTATCTTTGAGTTTTTTTGCAGCCAGATATAAGTACGTCTGTAAATGACTTTTTTTTTTTTACCAAGAGCGTCTTCCAGAGCTGTTAAAATTTGCTTATCAACTGCTTCATTGTAAAAGTTTGTAAGGTTCAGGATTGAAGAGGATGTCAGGCGTTGATTCTCAAATCGGCGAAGCATCATCATCTGCAGGGCCATCAACATCAGCCCCAGCAAATTCTTCTTCGAGTTCGTATATGAATCGTTTCAAAAAACTACATGCTCAAAGAGTAAGATTAATTTCTTTATTTATCAAAAAGATGTGTTGAAGTTTCTGAGGGTCATTTGTCAGAAGAAGCAAAAAGATAACGTTTTTTGTTTTTTATCAGAATATTATCATTTTCTTCCTATCTAGCTCCTGTGAAATTTTATGAAAGTCGACAAATTGATATGGGTAGAAGAACTCGTGTACAAGCTCCTCATTTTCTTGCTGTAGTCGATTAACGGAGTTTAATTATATCTTTTGTATTTTTGCCAGTTAGTGTTATTAAACACTCATTTCGAATCCTTTTTATTTTATTTTTATTTTTCATTTATTTATTTATTTATTTTTATTTATTTATTTATTTAT